CTCGTCGTCCTCGTCCTCCTCGTCGTCTTCGTGGTAGTGGCAGTAGTAGTGGAAGCGGTAGTGGTAGTGGTAGTGGTGGTGGTAGTGGTAGTGGTAGTGGTAGTGGTAGTGGTAGTGCTAGTGCTAGTGCTAGTGCTAGTGCTAGTGGTAGTAGTAGTAGTCGTCGTCGTCGTCGTAGTAGTAGTAGGAGTAGTAGGAGTTGTAGTAGTAGTAGCAGCAGTAGTACTAGTAGTAGTAGTAGTAGTAGTAGTAGTAGTAGTAAATGTAGTAGTAGGTAGTAGTTGTGGTAGTGGTTGTGGTATAGTAGTGGTAGTAGTAGTAGTAGTAGTAGTAGTAGTTGTAGTAGTAGAAGTAGTAGCAGTAGTAGTAGTAGTAGTAGTAGTAGTAGTTGTAGTAGTAGTAGTGGTAGTAGTAGTAAAAGCGACGGTGGTAGAGGTACTGGTAGGGGCAACGGCCTCGGTAGTGGTAGTACTAGCAGAGGTGGAGTCATGATCGTCGTCGTCATAGTCGCAGCAGCAGGTGGAGGAATCTTGGCGGCCTCTTCTTGCATTAGGACCCAGCCGAGTCTGCCGAATCTCAGAACGGTTGCGGGACGTTTTCCGGTGGGAGCCTCACGTGCGGCGTCGTGTTTCGGTACAAGCTTTGGGAATTACCGTGCAAGGCTTCGGCTTGCCATTGCACGGGGCCAAGAAGCTTTTCGAAGTCTTCGATGCACACCACACAGAACGGGAACTGAACCACCTGAGCAGAGCGGCTTGAGAAGATGTCAGAGTGTAGTACTGGCGTCGGAGTAGGTACAGTAGTAATGATTTGTGGTAGAATATGGCCCCTTCCAATAATCAAGGTTCCTATGTTATGCAAGGCTTCCGACGCATCGGTACGCGAATGGGAGGAAACCTCCTGCTACTAGAACATGGTCGCACTCTGCAACTAGATCACTAGGCTGGATTATCACCCTTAATATTATAGTGCTATCACGATACGGCATATTCAACCTCACAGCGCTCGGCGCTGTACCATCCTATGGGTGGGACTCGATGATAGATCTGTCGTGTTCGTCCCCCGTCGATTACTGTGCGAAGAAGCAACAACACCGCTGTCTGTATACTCACCCCTGAAACATGGACATGAAGAGAACAGTGAGCGCAGTGACCTTCTTCAGCAGGCTGCAGTGCCTGGACATCCATACTTTAGCAAGCCGTTACAAGTTGAAGAAGTCCGGTATAGTCATCTTACTATCGGTAAGTGCCCCTAGACTAAACCTCGAAATCGTGCGCTTCGCCGCTCAGCCAAGCCACATTCAAGTTCGAGATTGCGGATTGAATTGTCCTTGCCCTGACTTCACTCATATACATCTTCCAGACTTCTTGCTGCGAGTGCTTCCGCAAAGCCAGAATCACCTGAAACGTGCGAGTGGGTAGGCTTGTCCCCCTATAATCCAGGATCCTTATGCAAATATGTTTCCTACGGCCCCGCAGTATGGTTACCTTCGTGGAGTTTGGCTTTAGGGTTTCAGGATTACGGCTTTGCCTTCAGGATTTGCAGGAGGGGTTTACTTGAAAATAAGTCTAGAAGCCCTACACCCGCAGTGCCAAACAAAACCCTAAACTCTCAATGCCAAAACCCTAAAACCGACAGCCGTCAAACCCTAAACCCTAAACCTTTCTTTCTATCTGTGCCACTGGGATTAAGATTCAGGGGCTGGGACTGCTTGGCGAAGCATTGAGCCAAGTAGCAGCTTCGGGCTGCACCACAGTTTAGGGCTTACAGGCTTTACAGTAGAAGCCAGCAAGTTGGAACATTAATATCCTCATGAGGTAAAGTATAAGGGATCCTAGCACTAGTCCTCCTTAACCTATGTTCCAACTTGCTGTCATTTCGCTGTGGCGGTTTAGGGTTTAGGGTTTCGAGGGCCGTAGCATTCGGATAAGGTTTTGGGAGATGTTATGGTATTAGAACAAGCAACCCTAAGGCAGCGTTTTTCCCATCATTCAAGCTCCTGTAGGGATCAAACTCCGAATGGCAGATGTGCCCCTAAACCCTGAACCAGACCCTAAACCCGACTCCGATTCCCCAAACCTGCAACCCCAAGTGATTAACACAGACTTAAGTGAACCGATAGGAGGTCTGGTTCCCAACTGTTTGGAGGCGCAGCTCTGGCTGCTAGCGCAAAGCTTTTAAGGTTTAGGGTTTAAGCGTGGGATCTATGGTTAGAGTTTCTTCGCGCACGGAGCTTGGTTCTTGCTTCGACAGTTTGGCGTCTGCGGGAGAAACCTATCGAAACAGAATCGTCATCAGGCAACTGCTACTTCTTTGTGGATCACCCTGTCTCTCAGCAAGTCACATCCATGCCCAGGCAGACGCCGATCAGGGCAGAGAGTGGCAGCAAAAGCAGCACGTACGTGATGTTAGGATCGACTTCCTCACAGGGCCAGATGGGAGTTTCCGAAAATTAGGGGTATCTTATTTTGGGGTCCTTATAATAGGGATCCTACTATTTGGGGTACTATATTAGGGTCCCCTATTTTCGGAGACCCCCAGATCCAGAAACAAGGCGGGCTATCATAGACCGCCTGACAGACTCCTCTGCCCCAAACCTATACTGAACTTAGACCCCCAGCAAAAATTATAATTTTAGCTGCTTCTTAGGGATTATAGTAGCCAAAGATTAAAAACTATTTCTAAGTACCCCTAAGAAACTAGGCAAACAACTCTGGCCGAGTCAAACATGAACTATAGAGGCCGTAATCACTAGAATACGGTTGTGTGGGTATCCCTAACCCTCCAGATACCTACTATATAGGACCCTAGGGGCTCTAGTACCCTATATAGTAGGTACCTGGGGGGTCAGGGTATGACAGTAATTCTAACTCCGGCCATGGCTAGCGGTGCTGTCGAAGCTGGAGTTACTCGGCAAAGCTCCAGTGATCAACCAACATGCAGATGAACATGAGCATCAAGATTTTGGTGATGCTGGCGATGAGAAAGAGGACAACGGCGGTCACGGACATCCCATCTTGGATGAGGTTGACGACCACGACCGCGACAATGGCGAAGAGATGACCACGATCATGGTGGAAAAACGTATGAGTATGAGGACCCGGATGACGAAGATTGTGATGCTGCTGATCATGGAGATGATGATGGTGGTGATGACGATGATGATGAACATGATGATGACGATGACGATGAAGATGAACATTAATATGAATATGATGATGATGGTGTTGTTGATGATGATGATGATGTTGAGCATAAGGATCAAGATACATATTGAAACTATGATGGTGATGATGATGATGATGATGCTGGTCATGGTGATGGTGATGGTGATGCTGCTGATGACGATGATGGTGATGACGGCGGTTGCGGTGGCGGCATGTGACGACGATAGAAACGGAGAGACCTGAGGATGAACCACGTGCTGGTTTCCGTCCCTGGCACTCTTTTCAACCTTGCAAGCCCGGCGCTTTGCACACGACTGGCAGGGTGGACAAGGGCTGGGAGACTGCTGGAGGCTGTGACTATATGACCCTACGCCTGAATCGCAAAGCCCTGCAACTTAAGCCCTGGGACTTGAGCCCTACTGACCTCATGCCTCAATCCAAGGCCCTAGGCCTTTGTGCCGGTCCCTGGATTTCCGAGCTTGAAGACATGTGCATGGTGCTTGGGTTTAGGGCTCAGGGTTTTGGGTCCTTTCGCACACCGCTTCTCGAAATGCTGGCCTGTTCCACTCTGAGCCAGGAAAGATGCTTGGGGCTCTGCAACCCTGAACGCTACACAAATTTCTAGAAGCGCTGAAAGCCCAGAGCATGGTGTCTCAAACCTTCAACCCCTACAGTCTTGTAAAGGAAGCTGCAGAAGAACCTGTAAAGCAAGCTCTGAAAAACGGTCCTTATAAGGTAATATAGGGGCCTCCATACTTCGAATAGGGCTTGGGGGCCCATTATACAATGCTGATAGTAAGGAACCCCCAAAATAGTAAAGGTAATTACCCTAAACCCTAAACCCTAAACTTAATTATTAAGGCAACCCAGGCCTCCCAGCCGTCCACGGGAGCCAATTCCAGTTTCCAGTGGAGTGAGAGCTCCGGAACTTCGATGAAGCTGGATTCCGGCTCCTGTCAGCTTTTGCTGGGGTTTAGGTTTCGTGGCTTTTTGTGGTTTGAAGCTTGAGGTGCGGGGTTTTCGCGTTATGGTACAACGTGCTGATGGCGACAGGTGGCCGCATCCAGGCTGCTATTGGAGTGCGGCCATCGCTCCAAAGCCTCGCTCTCGGCTGTCATCGTTGCGCTGGACCTTTGCACCGTGTTATCCATCTCGTCTCATAGAGGGCTTTATTGCTTGTTATGGTACTATGAGTGAACAAAGCTACTTCGAAGTCTTCGGTTGAGGCTAATTAAGGGGTGCCCCCCCCTTCACCTGCCTATGCGTGCTTCACGATGTCATTTCCTGATCCTTCGCATACGGCTACAAATGCCAAGTCAGCCAGGTGCACCTCTAGGAAACCGGTGGTTGCCACCTAGATGTGGGTACTTACGGGCCTGGGCAGAAGTATGCTCCTGAATAACTTCAGATTTTAGTTCGAAGACGACTCCAAGCGGCAGTTGGTACGAGAACTTCGTGAAGCCTCCAACCCGATGTAGACCCGTCTCCTTGGTGATGCTATGAGCAAGGGCTTCCTTCACGCTTCGCATTACCAGCGCTATACTGCTGCACGTATGAGAAACATCCTCATGGGGGGATAACGACGCCCTTCGAAAAGGACGTAGGCGCAGTTATCGCCCCCCATGTTCACGAACATGATTATGTCCGCTATGTTTCCACGCCCCTAAAACGCATCGAATCATCTCAGTTCTTGAATACCCAACAAGCAAGCAGCACAATTTTTCGAATGGGATTGCAGGCTGAGTAGAAGAGTCGCAGTCATACCAGTACTAGTGCAAACAAATACGAGTACAAGACGAGTCCTAGTAGCAGTCGTAGTGGTGGTGGTGGCGGTGGTGGTGGTGGTGGTGGTGGTTGGAGTAGCAGTAGCAGTAGCAGTAGTAGTAGTACTAGTAGCAGTAGCAGTAGCAGTAGCAGTAGCAGTAGCAGTAGTAGTAGTAGTAGTAGTAGTAGTAGTCGTAGTAGGAGCAGCAGTAGCAGTAGCAGTAGCTGTAGCAGTAGCTAGGCC